GCCGCCAAACCGCCATGCAACTAAGCCAGACTTACACCAAATATGTAGGCAGCTCAACTGGTAAAAATAGCAGCTTCCTTGCCGAAACTCCGTATGTTGGCAATCACGTGAACGAATGAAAGTTCTGGAATCTTCTAAATCAATGCACAATCAAAGCTAATCGATTAATTGCTGCAATAATGGATTTTTCTTGATGTTTTACCTTTTCCCGGGTAGTGTGCATGTATAGACAAGGCGGCCTTAAGGGTCACAAGCCTGCCTTATAGCCAGAGGTCAATGGTTCGAGCCTACGTAGAGTCTAGTCGACCTTCTCATTAACCTTAGTCCACGTGGGACTGATGATGGTTGCGCAGCAAAGACGCGTCGGTACTATGTACCGGCCTGCTGCTGCTACTCTTTTTGTTTTTGTCTCTTGTGTGATGCGAGACTGTTTTAACCACTGCCCTGTTCAACATTTGCCTACCGTGATTTTCTGTGCATTTCATGCTTTGGATTATGATGCCCGTATGGAGCATCGTAGTAATGATGGGTTGCTAAGCGTATATCGTCTCAAGACGAGAACCGATTGCGTGAGACAACCATTCATATGTTGCTGTTTGTTGGCGAATGCGCATTGTTCGTACAGAGCGCGAAGATGCGTTGCAGCGCATGACTTCGACTCTCGCTTCCGCAACAGCCAAGTTCGGGCTCACCACCATCACAAACAAGATCTTATTTTAGGCAGCTAGAATCTGCGGGCTGTTCGCGAGTAAAGGTTGCTGATGTGGTTTTGATACTGCATCCAAACTTCGCTAGCTCGAGAGCATGCTGTCCGCGGACTTGCAGATGACCAAGGAGCTGCGCATTTACGTGAAAAATTCATCAGCCGACCGTCGTTACCGACCTGACGGTGTCCAAGTCGACTGTGCTCTCAGCTCTTTACGGCAGCGAAACGTAGATGCTATACAACAAGGGCATCCGATATTTGGAGCACTTTCATCAAATGTATCGGCATCGGATTCTGCGCACATGATGGCGGAAGTGCTCCGCCACATTGGCATATATGCAGTAGGCTGCACACTTCTGATGCATCACGCACGACTGCTCGATCGTGTCCGTTCGTATAGATTCGACTGGAATACTGAAGTGCTTGTTATATTGACCACTTAACACAAAGATGAGGAACGTAGACAGACCGAAGCTACGTTACCAGGGCGTGATCAAGATGAGTTTATGACTAAGTTTAGATCTTGGAAGGCAATGGCAGTGCACCGTCACCAATGACGTGGTCACGTCAAGAGGGCGGTTGCCCAGGTGCAATAGAAAGGACTGTTGCGTCGGGAAACCGAACGCTGGTTACGGAGGCGACAGGTGCCTACGCAGTCAACGTGAAGCACATGGTGCTGTAGATCAAGCAGTCGTGTGCGTCTCACGCAATCCGGTCTGGCAAACTATCCTCCTTCCTTCTGTGCAGTCTTCCTACCCGAGCCGGATAACTTAATTCTACTCCGTTCTCATCCACACGGAGTATCCTATCAACCAGGTTCTGTAAACTAAGCGCCGTGATCATAGTATCCCTGAGGACTTGGATCGGTGGACTCAGGCACGTGAAAAAGCCCACCTTTGATCGCATTTTATCTGTCTAGCCTGTTCCTATGGCAGTAGGATGACCGCAAGCCTGGGTTGTTGATCAAAAACGAAAAGCTTCTCTTCGTTTCACGGTTTCTTCCGTCGTCGAGTTTTCACTGCTCCTCAGTCATTAGACATTCATCTGTTCTTTAGAAATAACAGAGTACAATCTCAGTGAGCCATTAGTCTCAGTCAGTGTTGTGCTACCGAAAAAAATTAGGATGATGAGGTAATGATTTGTCAGAGAGAGGTAAGAAGGCTGGATTGAAACTTTGATAGAATTTAGCCAATTTGTGTGACCATGGGTACAGAACTGCTCACAGTCAAACATTTTTGGCCGCGATCTTCATCAGTAGCTGTAATCTTTCTCTGGTTTTCTCCGACTACGACAATCGTCACTCGAAATCTGAATGCATTTGTTTTGACTTAAGCGCAATAAACGATAGGAAGTGGCGCATGATCCAACACACGAAATAAGAAACCGGCATAACAATCAAAGCACGTATGGGCGTTTGCTGTTTTTCCAACCATTTTCGAACACAAATCACACGGTGATTCCTTCAGCACTTTCAAAACTGCCGCAAAGGCGACCTAAAATCCTATGCCAGAATTTGCACGTTTGAGTTTCGAAATCTGCGAAATGACCCCATGCAAATGTGATCTAAAAATAGCAGAATCAGAAATGAAACTGAATGACACCGATATTTCTATGAATTAATCCCGACTGACCCATAAGTCTGCCATGGAAGAATTCTGACACCACAACCACTGCATGGGCAACCGGACATCGCTAATCACGGTCGCTTCTTTTGGCCAGCTATACCGTTGTCACGCCAGCAATAAGTGATGTTGGTCTGGTCAGTTCGCGTCCACGGCTGGCCACGTGATGTGGTCTCTAGATTGAGCCTTATCGCTAGGATCGCCGGAGTTAGAAAAATAGGCCGTGACCTGCGTAAAGCTGTGGTAGACAATCATCTTTGTCTGTTCTGCGAATACCATGGCTATGTTGACAACTCAGCTCACGTTCACCAACTTCTCGTATGCCAACCTGCGCGATTAAGTCTCCGGCAAGCATCACGATGTCTGTGCTGCACTTTTTTCGGAGAAAGTCGGTGGTTTGGTTGGGGAACTCATCTTTAACTGACTTCGGCCTTCAGTAAGTAGTAGCATGCGCTGCTACAATGAACGAGCCACGACTGAACGATCGTACTGAGGCTTCTAGTTAGATCGCACTGAGTCGTGCTAACAGGTATTCAGTCTAGGGGCGCAACCTCATCACGGGTTCTCAACGTTCCCCACGTCAGAATGGTCGGAGACATTGACAGCCGAGTCTACAGGTAGGCGCAACACGAAAGCGCCAGCGGTACTTGCAGACGGTAAACTAATTCGTAGCGTCGTGTTAGAGTCCTGTAGAAGGGCCACACTTTGACAACAAACATCCAATGATAATAGTTTCCAGAGTCCGAACAATAAAGACAGCCAGCTTCAATTGAGAACGGGGCACTAGAAAGTGCTTGCCAATACAATTGGGCAACGCACTCCCAAACCTAGAATCTTGGTTCGTGCGGCGTGAACACTCTCCCAAAGCGGCTCAATTTTGTAGCCTCAGAAACGGAGAGACAACCAAGGGTTGAAGGATTGAACGAACAGAGAACAAGGTAATTGGACGGTGGTGCGATAGAGCGCGGTTTAGCTAGTCCGACCGCCAGCACTTTGGCCGTGGTCGGCAGTTCCAAAGAACCAAGGGAACGACTCGAGATTCATTGAAACATTTCTCCATGGGTTTTGTGGGCGTACTACTTCCCGGTTGCCTTTATTGAAGAAGAGGATTAGTTTAGGGGATCCCACCCGCGGAGTCTTGGATTATAACGATCTAACGCGCAACACTGCCTAGCTATTAGTGTATATTGCGAACTGTTTGGATTTGCCTACCAAAATAAGGATAACACAGTTTTCGAGTGGCAACAAGCTACTCAGGGCACCCAAAGAGCCCGACTTTAGCGGCACCGAGACGAGGAAAGACTACATGGACCACCGAACTCGCCAACAGGCTCGAAAACGTTGGAAGCTAAGTAACTGATACGCTTTCACAGTTTTCGAAATCCACATAGAAGCCACTGGCCATCGAGGTTATTTATCCGTCCTCCGCTAGGTACTCACTCCTGGTCGCAGAAGTGAATTTTCAATGACAACATAGCCAGTCAACTTGGCTTTGACACGTCGTCATACTAACTTTTGTGATATTCATTGGGAAACCAAGTGCCTAGCTTGGAACCCCAGCGACTGCTTATTCATCTTACTTGCGAAGCAATCACTTTTTATTCAGTTACATTCACTACATGGTGGTGGCGTGAAGTCATGTAGAAGTTGACTGAGGCACTTGACCAGTCTGATGCATGCTGTCTTTGTGGATTAGGGCCCGGGATGGTTCGAACCAATAGTCCTAGACTCTCTCGGACATGACATATTCGCGCAATCAGTGGCGTTCTTTTGCTCGGTTGTTTACATCTTATTTTAATTTTCAAACCACCCCCATTAGTTTTGTGTAGTTCCTACTCGATTCTATTTTCCTAGCATTCTGTCTTCATTCAACCCATTTTCGTATCGTTCTTATTTATTGCTATTATGGCGACGCAAATGATAGAAACTGGATCGATCACACTTTGGTGCTCGGATCATATTTACTCAATTGGAATAAATTGTTGTATTCGTCTCGAATGCGTTCCCCGATCCGCAGTTAGGGTACGCGCTCGATAGCTTATACTTCTGCTAAATCAACCAATGCTCGGTTCCCTTCCGGCTGCTGGATTGGTACGCGCGCCAGTTCTCTGGATCGGCCACTTCGCTGGCTAGCGATATAATCGGATATACGCCTTTGTATTTGCTCTCTTCTGATTGTCGGCCTTTCGGGCAACATTTACAACGCGATTTTATCCCCTTTTGAATGCGTACTTTTGTGTTTTTCTTATTTCACGATCTTTTTTATGATTGTACCGATGTGTTGAGACAACTGAATCCATAGAGCTTTGGTGCGCAAGTGTTGGTGACTTGTCTCAACTCGATCTCATAATCTAAACCAAGACTTGGCCTCCTGCTTTTTCCTTAGTTTCCGAGGCAAATAAATGTTGTATGCTTGTTGGACGCAGTTAGAGTCCCTTTTATTGGTCTCGTAGATGTGTACGCGATTAGTTTCCGGCCTGTTCTGAGCGCTCGATTCTGCGTCGTCACTAATCTCACTTCATATTCTATAAGTGTCCATCCGTTTCTATGCCGCATCCTTTTTAGGCATTTCTCGAGTAGCCGCGTATCGTGTTTTGCAGTTATTTTTCAGTTCGTTTTCTCTTAAGCTGCTTGTATTTCACTTTAGATAGTATGTTTTGGTCGCTCCACAGGTATAACTTGGACAGAAGACACCCTCTTCGAATATCTTGAAAACCCAAAGAAGTACATTCCCGGTACCAAGATGGTATTCGCTGGATTAAAGAAGGAGGATGACCGCGCCAATTTGATTGCTTATCTGAAGGAAGCTACTAAGTGATAGCTTCCACTGTTTTCCTGATAGTTTCGTTAAACCGCATTTTAGCCTCACTCCTGTCAAATACCATTCTTTCCTTCTTGAACCACCTCGTTTACCAAACCGGAGCTGTGTATAGTTTACCTTAGAACATTACCCACATGCTTTGTTGAACAGTTTCTCGCTTATTTCACTAAATATTGCTGAGTTTCCTAGGATTTGAAAACCGGTCTAGCAAATAAACTTTTTCGGTCAGGTTAAATGCAACACATTCGCATAGTTAAGTGAAGAAAGGATAGGTTAAGCACCTAGGAAATGATGTCAGAATGACTATAACGTGTGCGTATACGCGGAAACTACCTGGACAACAGCTGGCTAAAGCCTTGACGAACTGTTTCTTCACACAAAGAATGGTTGTTAGGACGAATCGCGATTGGCTCCACCAGTCAAGCATTTGGCATATGTTGAGTTTGGAATGGACACCGCTCACACAGCAGATCAAGTGAAACGCTTTGGAGATAACGATGGGATAATTCGTTTGGACTAGGTGTGTGACTATTGCGGTGTGTACGTTCGTTCAATCTTTGGCTTGGCCGCACTGGATGGTGTTCGCGAACACGTTCAGGCAAGCATTGCGTGGTTCAACCTATGTACTTTGCCCCAAAATTTTCCAGTGGCCGGGCCAGATAAGTCAATTTTGGGATCTCTTGCTATTTTCGGTTACACCTGGCATATTAATCCTTGGCGACTTCATACATTAACGAGTTGTATTCTCATGATACTTTTGACTGCTGAGCCTCAGCAATATTAGGTTCCCCTGCCCAATGCTTCACAACCAGTGGCCGGTTGACACAGCTTATCAGCCTTGTACTCAAAGTATCACCGGTTCGAAACTACCTGAGTGCCGGTGGTCTCACTCCATCCCTGACACGCACGCGATTGGTGGCGGTCACGTTGCAGCGAAGGGTCGGTACGCTTCACCGATATACTACTGATGCTTTTCACCCTACATTTCGGCCTTGAGGACCTGGATCGAGGGACGGAAGTCACATTGCCGTGTTAATGCGATATCCTGCTCATCAGTTTGCTATAGCAGTCGTTCGTAATGCTTCACGCTCGTGTACAGAAGACACTATTTTCTGTGCTTGAAGGTGCCGCAAAGCATTGTTAGTGTTTTAACCACGAACATTTTCTTAATAATAATAATAATAATTTCTTTGGGTCATATGGTTGACGGCATTCGATTCCTGATTTGTCTGTCACTGTGAACACCATAGGACAACGGCAGGACGCCTGTGCATACACAGCGAAGGAATAAGACCGGGAGGTATGTGGATGGGAGCCATGTTTCTTCAACGGAACCGGTTCACATTCCTTTAACATACACAGCATTCCTGTCTATTTACTTTGGGAACCATGCGAACCAGACGAACACAAGGCGGTGGCTGGGCCTTAGCCAGTTCCACATTGGATGCATGGAATCACTCTTTGAGCATAGTATTAGTGTCGCTTTAATCGAGGCTAGTTACAAATTCAGAAGGCTAGACACTAATATAAATAATATTGTACATGTAATCATGATATATACAAGAGCGAGAAACTGATGTGCCGAATAGCTTGCGTGCGGGTACGACGATGGCTGCGTCGGTCTTTGAGCACATGAACGGAAGTGTACACGTTCGTTGTCCGGTCGTTCCAGTTGTGTTGTATACGTCTTGATGCGATATGGGTATAGCAGTGGCTGCGAGGTGAAGTGCATTCTCTATCGGTTATTGTTGCCACGTGCTTTGATGCGCCATCGGGGTCATTGGTTAGAGGTCAAATGGTGTTTTCGCGCCGGCGTGGATCACGTAGTGTATGTCGTGATGTGTGCTAGGTTTTTGCCATGTAGGTTAAATGAACAGTAGTTCCACAAACAAGAATGTTTTGAGAAACTGGTAAGTGGACCTTATACCTAGCACGGTCGCGAACATCGTGCACCCCGTCCCCCTAGTGACGATTAGCAGTCCGTAGCCAGTAATCTTGATAAAGTGTGTTGGACAGGTAGACACCTTGTCATCATACACATCAAGCGCAGCCACTCCGGGGATATCAATCTACAGCCAACACCTGAAATGCAAGAAACACAATACGTACATACCAACTGCAACGATGATGTGGCGCACGTGTCACACCTGTAGCATTATTTGCCTAGGTTAGTAAATAGAATCAAACGCAGCGTACTTGCCATCGCTGAGTTTATTATGATTACCAATTTAACTGACTCGCTCCTTCGATGGGCTAGGCTCCGTCGGAGTCTGTTGCTTCCTCAACCGATGTTTTTCTTCCTTATGCTGCAGTACTTCCTCGTGGACCTGCGTTGCCCTATTCTTTATATGGGCGTGCCATTGGCTGCGATCCACTGCTATTGCCTAAAATTTGTGATGAACTCACCTTCATCATCTCCTGCAAACGTAACCTCGGCTTGCCCGCTTTACTTGCCCCTTCATTAAGTCGACCATACAGCAGCTACTTTGGTATTCTGTCGAATCCATACGAATGGATACGGTCGAGCAGCCTCAGGTGCCGCATCCGAATTGTGCACTTTACTGTATACGTACCAGTGCGACGGAACATCGTGTTTGAAATTCTATCACCAACTGATGCGCAGAATCCGAAGTAGACACTGTTGGTGACATCGCTCCATATATCTGACATCTTTTCGATACAGCGTCTACGTTTCGCAGTCATGAAGAACCAACAGCATCATCGATTAGTGTGCCATCAGCTTCGTTCCAGCAGTAAGCTAGTGATTCTTCCACGCGGTTTTCCAGCTTTCCAAATGCTGCAGTCGCCTTCAATACGCGGGTACTCAGCTCTGTTGTCATCTACAGGTCGTTAGAGAGAACCCCCCCATAGCGAAGTCTAGAGGTGTTTACCAAAACGTCGGTGCCAATATGGATTTGCGGCAGTCACATGGATACATGGTCTGAAAAAACCTAACCGTCTTGCTTATGTTGATAGTGAGCCCGAACTTGGCCTCTGTCAAAACGAGAACCATCGTCATGTGCTACAGCTCATCCGCGCTGCGTGCTAACAAGGCGCACTCGTCAGCTAACAGCATCCGGATGGTTGTCTCATATGCTCGAATTCTCGGCCGAACGGAATCCTCATTGTTCTTCCGCCACGCACGTTTCCACAATTTGAGTGATGAGGCGGTCGAGCAGGATTCATGCGATCACCTTCCCCATACAAATTAAGGTCACGATAAATCGTGGCACATTACTTACTCCCTTTACCCATGTACAGTGGTAGCACAAGGGCATCCTTCAAGTCAGGCGGCACTTCCTCTACAAACCGCGCTCGCTGCACCAAGTGACGCATTGCATGTCTCAACGTGGCTACGCCGTGTTTCAACACTTCTGACCGTATCACGTCGGCTCCGGTGCACTTGTCGTTTCGCAACTAGACACGTGCTCTCCGATTCTCAAGCACTCGGATATGTCGGCAAGACACATCTTCATGTCTTGTTGTTGTACTCCGTGCGACGTAGTCCAGTCAATCTTTACACGGTTGTTCAAGTGGTACTCGATGTGCTTTCGCCAGATATGCATCATGTGTGCAGGTAGCACCTAAAGTAGTATCAGGAAGCGTCCTCAGCGGTTGCAAGATAGGTCCATACACCGCCTTCAAAATGTGAGATGATTACTTATGTTAGCGGCGTTCAGCGTAACACTCCAGCTGCTTCGCCTTCTCCGACCACCATGCATTTTTTGATACGACGGAGGTTTGGAGTCATTCACCGTCAAAGTTTGCGCAACTGACTCCTCGGATTTGGCATGTTCATTCACATGCCTAGCGAACGCTGCATTCCTCTCCCACACCAATGCGCTGATGGTCGCACTATTGTCATCAAACTAATCGGGCGGTTTACAATTCGCACGCCCGATAGTTTTCTCGGTAACAGCCGCCACCTGTTCTCTGATGTAGTGCCACAGGTGGCTGACTGCACCGATAGAGTGAATGTCGCCTATGCAGGTAACCATCACCTCTAGTTCCATGTTCTTAGCAGTATCTAGGGTACGAACATTAAATTTGCGTTGATTCATGGTAGGTGATCAATACATAGACTTACGAAAATATGTGCACTTTGGTCCACACTTACTTGTGACGAGTGCCGCACTCAGCTGCACGTAGTACATATGTCGTGCGGACTTCAGACATGTCACGCTGGCGTACGATGACATTGTCGAGCAGTGTGTGAGCACCCAATGGGTGTTCCCGTCTAGCTGAATCACTTGCATTCACTTCGAACTGTACGTTTCTGATCGTCAGGCTGTGGGGCAGCACGCATTGAGAGCAGCTGGTCACTGTTCCCATTGGCTGTGCCAATGCCATACAGCCCGATAACATCTGTGCACACCGCGATATCACGCCCAATGCGCACATTGAAATCACCCAGTGAGAATAGCCGGTCGGTCCTCGGCACAGATCCTATCACGGACAACAGCGTAAAACTGATCCCTCGTGTCATCTGGTTAACACATGGTGGGACCATACTTGCCAGTAAGCGAAACTTTCAAGGAGTGGGGCGCAGGGTCATCAATCGTGAACTGATGCCATTCGGTTCACCCACTAGTTGGCCATTCACAGACGGGTAGTACAAATCCGACCACATGTTCACGTGAAGTTATGATGGCATTTCTCAGTAGAACGTGTAGCCAGCACCAACTTCGTGTAGTTTGTCTTGGTCAGCAGGGCGAATCTCACACAGCGCGGCAGTATCAATGCCGCAGCACGCGACTTTCATCATGACCAGTGCTGTGCGTCACTCGGGTCGCTCACTCGTTTGCCAGTCAAGTGGTGTGTGCACGTTCCATCACCCGATGTTAAGTGCTTTGCGCGGAGGCAAATGATTGCACCGGTTAATCGCTCGTGTGGTAACCAGTATTGGATGAAGTAGTGGGTTTGTTGAGACGGGGACAGGGAGATTATATGCAGAGGAATAAGAAGTAAGTGAGACATTAGGGGTAACATATTTTCGCTTATCCACTTCGCTGTATGCAGCAGATAAGGCAACCTTTTCCTTGGTGTCATTGCGCGACATCCCATGCAGCATTTAATCATCAGTATTTGTGTTTTTCCTGGTTTGGGTTTGGAATGGTATACC